TAAGAATATATTTTTGTAATAAATTTATATAAAAAATATAAAAATAAATTAATAAAATTAATGTCAAGCAAATAAATTAATTAAATAATTAATAAATTAAATATTATTTTTTATATTTTCAAGATTGTTAATTAGACCTGGCAAAAGGGCAGGTTGGATCGGGTTCGAGTTAGGTCAACTCAGGTGACGGATTATACGGGTTAGATTATGAACAGCTGGTTGGAAAAATCTAACCCTAACCCGACCCTAACAAATTACGGGTTAACTCGCAGCTTGATTTTATTTTCATTCTTTATAATTATTTTTTATTAATTTTATTACATACAAATAAATTTATATATCTAAATCTAATTAAAATATTATGATTTATTAAAACTGATTACTTTATAATCTCAATCACAAACAATTAAATTAAGAAAAAAATTAGAAAGTTATAAATAATAATAAGTTGATTAATAATAACAATATTAAACATAAAATATTTAAATTTCTTGGAAAATAAAGCACTGTAAAAATTCACTATTTCACCGATGAGAAATCAGGTTGGTAAGAAAGGGAATCAAGTCGGTGAAATAGCCCTCCAACTTGGATCATGTCGGTAATAACTTTGTTGGTGAAACTAGGCTCGGTAATTCATTCACCGACGTAGATGAAAATCATGTCAGTAAACTCCCTCCTCATTACTAACAAGAAACGTCTCGCAAGGATAGACCGGAACAATAACACCGAAAATCATCTCTGGTTTCCATGTCGCCAAATTACCGACAAGGATAACGTCTGCAAATAAGGAAGGTACCTCAAGCTCTGAGCTACTGACCAATGAACATCACGTTTGCCAATACAGGAAAATGCTTTGCAATTTGGGCCATGTCAATGATTCACTGATAAAGATCACATCTGAAAGTACACAAAGTTCTTCGCTTGCCAGGGACTGAGCAAGGAAATCATCTTTGAAATGTAAAAGTTACCGACAAGATTTGAGTCGGCAATTTTAGGCACCATTTTTTTTCCTCCTAGTTACCGACAAGAATAACGTTGGTAAATAACTCTGGAAAAAAAAATTGAATTCAATTCATATTGAGATTAGTATATATATATATATTTATTGTTTAATTAAATTAATTTACAATTAAACATTAAGTAATTCGTAATATTTAATATCATAAAAAATAAATATAATATGAAAATTTTACGATGTAATCAAAAAACTATTGTATTTATTTATTTAAATTAAAGATTAAAACATAACTTAAAAAAGAAGAATAAAATGACAAAGTTAAAATATAACTAGATAACCTAAAAAATTAATTAAAGATTACCTCAATAGATGAAGATTTGCATAACACCATTTCCTAAGAAAATAAAAAAACATAAATTAGGTTAGTATTTATCTATAATTAATTTCAACCCTAATAACTCTAATCAACATATAAATAAAATTGAATGTTAATTTGCACGAAGAAAGTTTACTTACCCCAATGAGTATCTCCTAATGTTTCTTGGAAAACAAAATTAAAAAAGCAAATAAATTGATTAATAACACAAATTAGTATTTAATCAAATAGGGAGAAACAATGAAAGAGAAAAAGAGAGGAGACTGAAAAGATATAAACCTAAAATTATATCAATAATGTAATTATAAACATAAACAATTAATCCAACAGCATTGAATGGAAGAAAAAGAGGAGGCAAGCCGGAGAAGAAGAAAAAAGAAGAAGAATAAGAAGGAAGACAAGAAGAAATAAGCCAGGTAGAGTGGTGGGCTGAGGGTATATATAAGCCAATTTACCCATGTGTGTTTAGTCGGTATTAATTTGACCGACAAACATCACATGGGTAAGTTACCGAGAGCGGGAATCCAAAAACCAAAAAAAATTTGCAATCCGCGCCTAAATTACCAACCAGCTTCATGTTGGTGTGATGTTGGCAACTTTACCGACTAGAATCATGTTGGCAACTTTAATTTGCCGACAAGATGCCAGTGGGAACTTCATTTATCGACTAGAATTACGTTGCTAGCATGGCCGGTAAAAATTCCCCAGCTTCCTCTCTAGATTTTGTCCATTTTCCCTAAGTTCCTTTCAAGATTTTGTTTTCATGCCATTTTCTGAATTTATCCAACATATTTCTTACATTTTAGTGGACATAAATTTTAAAAAAATTTGATGAAATCCCCCCATATATATGATAAAAGGTATTTCTTTTTTTTTAATTTGCATTTGCAATTCTACAACTTTGTTATAAAAAGTGCAATAATTTGAAATTTATTCAATAGATTTTTTGCAATTTGGTCATTTTAGTTGGCATAAATTCTAAAAAATATTTGACAGAGTTTCCCTATACATATGATCAAAACCAATTTTTTTTACTTGCATTTGCAATGAAAAACACATATATTCTACAAGTCTAGCATGCTAAAAACAATTATACCTTTTCAACCATAACTATAACCACAACTACAAAGTATGGCAATCACATACCATTGTCTTAAATACCTACGATATTCAGTTAATAATAATTAACCTCCAAAGCAATCCAAAACTTCATACCTTTTGAAGTATGATCACTGGAGGTCAAGCAAAATAAGAAAAGATATCATAATGAAATGAAAAGCTAAAGCTAACAGTTTAAAGTACTAACAAAAATAAAGCCAACCACGCAAAGTGTATAGATAATGTGTGTAGCAGAAAAATAAAAACACTAAGGACCTTGATAGTCTGGCTCAAAAATAGGATGGTATGCATCATCATCTTGAGGCGAAAACTGCTGCTGTTGTTGTTGATATTCAAGAACCATATGAGAGGTTTGTGTAGAATCAGTGGAGTAGGTGAAAGCTGAATTCATGCGAAGACTTGAGCCAGGACCATGTGACGGCTGTGGTGGGGCAACTAGATGATGACCTGCCTGAGGGGAGATGCCATGAGCGGCTAGAGCTGCTGCAACAGATTGTGCAATTGCCTAGCTCATATTATTCTAAACTTGTGTCATATTGGCCAATTGCTGTTGCATCAAAGCAATTCGTTGGCGTTGTCTTTCGAACTCCTCATTTTGTTTTGCCTGTGCCTCGTCACAGTCAAACACCATCATTGCTGCTATTAAGTTTTCTCGGGGTTGTCTCTTCCTGTAAGTAAAACCAACCATCTCTGGATTTACTTGGGAGCCAATCCCTAGCATGAAATTAGATGAGCAACCTTCAACAGCCTTAACCCATGCCTCGTTATCCATGCGTGGCCACGAACTAGCATCAGAGCCATGACTCTCTGTGCACTCCGCAACATAAGTATCCTGAAAAAATAATAGTAATAGTAATAATGTTGTCAAAAGCAGTTTAAAAAGAATCTATAAAAAAAAATGTAGACTTTGCTAAATAATTTAGATTAATTACATAAATTTTTTTGACACTTATAACTATACATTTTATGCTAATTTAGTAATGAAATATATACTTACATATTGATGCTTTGCTTTTTCATTGATCCACGCTGGCTCTTGATCCTTTTCTTGCCTTTTTTCTAAAGGTATGTGTTTCCTTGAATTTCTCCTGATGGGGAGGTTGCACAACACCTCTAGATTTAGTCTATATTTCAAAATATTGATAATGCAATATATTGGTTAGTATAAATTGACACAATTTATTGTTAAATAAAATTTAATATATTAAAATCTTTTATTAATTAAGCTTGATTACCATCCGCATCTCATGGATGCCAAAGCTAATAGACCCAATGGTGTGAGTCACCCTTTCCCCATAACTCCTATTCTTTGCTCCCCTTGCACTGAGCCTCTTATATTCATCAGAGTCCCAATATGTCAGCAGCTGAGGCCATATATGAGTTGGGATCCAACATGGGACATA